GGGGCACTGAAGGTAGTGCTCATTTTGTAGGCCAGGGAACTTCCATTCCTGTGCAAGCTGGAGCGAGTGTCTTCTCAGGTAAGTGGTTCAGTTCTCCTTAAATATTAGATATACTGTAGGTGACACCAATAAATTATTGTCCGAGCTGGTTTTCACTTTACTAGAGAGAAAATAAACCATGAACAGCTCATTGCTGCAGAAAGCAAGGGCATGTACCAGCCACAATGCAGTTCATCTTCTCCCAAGGATCAAAGAAAATCTTTGCAAAACTATACAAACTACCCAGACTCACTCCATCCAGCATGGAAACGAAACGGTCTGGGGGAGCACAGCGAAGATTTCATTAGCCATAACCATGCCACCGCTTTAGGACAGGAGCTGAAGAATGCAACATCCAGATTGCACTAGGGGATAATGTTTCTGCAGCATCACAAGATGTGGCTAGGAGAAGGCTCTTAAGGCACCGTGGGATTTTAGACTTGGAAGTACCTACACAGACAAGTGAAGTTTGGCAGGAGCCAAGACCTGGATAAAGTCAGGCCCCAAATGTTGAGTTGTGGGAGCAACCAATGCATTCTGGAACACAGCTAGCTTTTGGTAACTTTTTAAATTTAATTAAATTTTTAAAATTAATACCTAGTATTTTTAACTGATCTGCTCTATTTCAAGCAGAAGTTTTGGGCCTGAGGCAGGGATTACTCAATGTGTTTAGATGGCGTGGCTTGTGCAAGACAACAGCCTGGAGGAGGTGCAGCTCTCTTCCAAGACTTTGTGACAATGCCGACGTCGGAAGGGATGGCTCCTAAATGACCCCCCTGGTTTGTTTGCACAGCATGTGTGCAAGATGCTGTCTCTTACAGCTCTGCTCGGGTAGCAGCATGTTCTTCTGTCCCTGCTGTGTGAGCAGAGGAAGACCTGCCCAGGGGAGCAGGTCCATGCAGTGGTTCTGGCCTACCACCACATCCCACCAGCAAGAACACCTCACTGAGCCCAAAGGGGGAGACGGTGGTACAAGAGGCACCACAGAGGGTCAGGCCCAGTCTGGGCAAGGGAGAAAGGAGCACGGAGCAAACAGACCTATTTTTAAAAACAAAACAAAACAAAAAAACCAAAACCAGGCACATGAAGAAGTGAAACCTCCTTCTCTGAGCTTTAGCAAATTTGCTAAATTTTGCAAATTTGCTCTGACTGCTCTCATGCCAAAGCCAAAGCTTGCCGAAATCACGTGGGGACAAGGCAACCTCTCCCTCTGAAAGGCCCTGTTTGGGAGACACCAACATCCAGGAGCTGATGGACACAGGCCATTGCCTGCTGCCATTATCGGTTCAGACCCGGTTCCTGCTCAGGAGCTCCCTGCCTGCCACTGCCTGGCTATCTGAGCAAAATGATCCTCCTGGCCTCATTCTGCAGATGGGGGTCTCTGGTGGAAGGCTGTGGTCACAGCACCCAGTCAGCCCTCTTAATTCTTAGCTTTCGATACTAGTTTAACCATAAGGGAGGGGCAGCTTGCGCTGCCCCAGGGCTGTCCCTCCAGGACACTGATGGCAATTTGGAAAAACCACAGGCAGGGGAGGTAAGTGAGGGCTCTGGTCTGCAGGACAGAGCTTGCTAAACACCGAGTAGTCCTTGGCGGGGGGTGGTTCTGGGACACAGCCCCACCAGCAGCCAGACTGAGAATGACCATGGCTGGCTCCTTCCCAATCCACCATGGAAGGAAAGATCCCTTGAAGAAAGGCTTGGGGTTGAAGTCAGGATTTGGCCCTGTGCAACATCTAAATAAGCTTCTCCAGCTATATCTGGACCTCTGACATGCTCCCATGTTTTGATATGGCTTCCCAGAGCAATGAAGTGTTCCTGTGGGTCTGTATACTCTGTCTCTCCTCCTATCTCGGTTATCCTTTGATCCCAGCAGCTGGAAACATTACCCAGGCAGAACAAGACAAGAGAAGCAGTAATTTGCCCACATAGTTAGGGAAATGGAAGCAGGACAACAAGCCCCAGCCCTACAAATAGTTATCTTTGAGTACATAATTCTTAATTACATACTTCAGCAAAGCCTAGAGTAATATAGTAAGTTAAGCATGTAATTCCACTTTAAGTGATGGGTAAGTCCCTAAAGCGAATGCTCACGTGTACACAGGGCCACTCCCTAACTCAGCCAAGGCTCTCTGGGGAGCTGGGGAGGCCTCGCTCGGGCGGCACCAGGGATGCTTTGGCAAGGTACCGTACTAGTGTGAACACGAGTGGACAACAAAGCCATGCCCCAGATTTGTATGACGATCCCAAGTTGCCGAGAGAGCAACTCTGGATGAGAATAACCCACTTTTACCAGAGGAAAGGTAGATGGGGGGGTGGGGGACAGATGCAGGCTGAGGAGGACTGCCCAGCCCCTTCCACAGGTGCACCTCTCCATCTGCCAGCATGGCTCCAGCAGGCAGCCAGCTCACCTCTTCTCACCCCGGCACAGCTGTGCTGCAAGGAGTTTGTTGCACGAACCTGTCTACTTCTTCGTTTCACCGTCTATAAAATTAGGTTAAAAATAGATATCCGCCTTTAGAAAAATATCTGGAGATCCTTAGGTGAGTGCTGTGCACATAGAAGTTATCATTGTTAACAACCAGGTAAGACGAAAAAAAATGGGGGGCGGGGGGAGATCTACGCTGAGACTTTTGATGGGTCTGTTGCCTGGGGAAAAATAAAAAGGTAATCTATTAAAGCCACATTTACTCTTTGAAAAATTTCCTTATCTCTGATCTGGCTTAAAAGAAAAAGTAGCGAGCAACGCTGGGCAGGCAGCCGGCCCACAGCTGCCCCTGAGCCCGCACCCCATCCCAGGCACCGACGGAGCCTCACTGAGCCCAGGAGACCAGGGCAGAGCACAGGTCATGCCTTGGGAGCCCCAGGGGCAGCACAGGGGCTGCGGGGCCAGGCTGCCTTCCCTCTGCTGGTGTTTGCTTGCTGCCCCTGTGGCCTTGCTGCTCTCAGAGGGAGCCCCCACACTCTTAGAGTGAAGTTTTCCATTTCTGCCTTCAGTCAAGCCATGAAGCTCTG